GGTTCCTGGAAAAGTAATATGCAAGCAGGAAACCTTGAGCACATATTTTTTTAAAAAAATGAAATTAGTTCTAGAATAACATATTTGTTCTTATCATTTCTAAAACTTTGTCTAATTCATCAGAACACAAAATAGTATCAGTGACCTCAAAATAGGAAAAGGTGGGTAAAGGAATGCATTTCCCATTCAGTGAATTGCAAACAATTCAGTAGGAAAGTTTTTTTTTAAAAAATCATGTAAGTTAAATTTATTCAGAGGCTGGGATCTAAGACATGTTCACTGATTCATGAATATTTTAATAAAGTACTGAGCTATAATAAGAAGCATTTACATAAATGCTTTACTAGAAGGGTTAATCCTTGCAAATTCAAAATATCGCCAAATATTCCCAAAGGACTGTAAACAATTTTTTAAAAATTGGATTTCTCTTCATTTAGAACAAGAAAACCATATGCAATATTTTAAACAGAAAACGGCAAAACACATATGTTAATAATAATAATAATTGGTTGTACTGTGGAGATTAAGCTCCAATGACACTTTGCAAAGAACATTTTAAGCTCTAACGTTAAAATATTAACCCCTGTGAAAGTTTCCAAATACTAAATTAGTTGCCAATAATGACTTATCATCAGTGAATTCCAACAGAACATTTGGAGTTTAATGTTTTGATTGTCACAGTATCATTAAATGCCACACCATGCGTTTAAACAAGCAATGCCAAAATGTTAAGATGTTTCCAAGCTATCAACTCTGCAGGCCACAAATGACTGACTGTTAAAGAAATACTTGCTATCATTCTTAATACAGTACAGCATATATCACAGATGCAGTTACTAAAGAGCAGGCTGAAGGCAGATATGAAACATTTTTGCAAAACTATGTGGATCCAAGGGGAGAGAAGATAGAAAATGTCCCATCAGCAACAAGTATCTTGTCCGCCTCCTTCCACATCCACAATGTTGCAATAATATATTTTTAAAAATTACATTATTGGCTACTCTATGCTCCTCTCCCAAGGAAAATTCTTATTTATTTTCCCATGCATAGTCCTTTTGGCCTATTTAGTAGTGCAATCTGGTTAGTTTTAGGTACCAGGCTCCACATCCCTTTCACCCAAGCTCCACTGGCTCTCTATTGCAAAACAGATCTTCACACTCACATACTTCATGCCATAGCACCTCCCTACCCCTCTGACCTGCTTATATCCTACTCCTACTGTGGAGTCCTATAGCTCAGTGGTTAGAGCACTCAATTTGCAAGCGAGACAGCTGGGTTTAATTCCAGGGAGGGTGAAACCTTGGGCAAGTTTTCTTACTCCACACGCCTAATAATAATCCCTCCAAAAAAACAAAACAATAATAAATTGGTCATTTTTAATCCATAACTGTTTATGGGACACTGCTGTGCCCAATTGGCTGCCGCGTTTCGCCCACAAATATACAGTCAATTCACTTTACAGCATATTCTGTGAAGCACTTTGAGACGTCTAGAAGACATGAAAAGCGCTATATAAATTCAAGGATTATTATTATTGTTATTATCACTCCTCTACCCGCCCCCTTTGCTCAGCTGGCTCAGACGTTCTGCATGTTCTTCATCCACTCCACTCCCTCAATGATCGGAGGTCATGCTTTGAGCCACTGTACCCCAAAATTCTGTAACTCTCTGCCTCAATCCCTCTGCCTTACCCCTCCTTACCCATGTTCAGATTGTATTTGAAATCTTTCCGCTTCGACTGTACCTACGGTCACCTCCCCTCTTTCTCCATTTCAGTGTCAGGCTCCACCACTATTAAGTGCTCCAAGATTCTACCCAGCATGAAGAGCACAATAAATAATGCAATTTATTGTTGTTTAGGACCAAGTTTAAATCTCGCCTAGACTAGTGGCATGAAATTTGCCTACTTTTGGAAGCTCCAAGAACCTAATTTCAAATCAACCTCACTTGGTGGTGGGTGCAAATCAGCAACATAACACAATTCAGCACAGTTTTGAGCTACTTGAGGAATTTCACTAAGGTGTGATAGTATGGTTAGTACAACACATGATTAGTACAACGCAGTACAACCCGGGTGCATTAGGAGGCACACTTAATAATGAATAATCCTTGCATTTGATATAATAATCATAGTAAACCTTGCATTTGATATAGCGCTTCACAGAATATATTGTAAATTGAATTTTACTGTATATTTGTGGGTGAAACTCGGCAGCCAATTGTGCACAGCAATGTCCCACAAACAATCGTGGCTTGAAGTGACCAATTTTATTGTTTTTGTTTTGTTGTTTCTTAAGGGATTATTATTAGGTGTGTGGAGTAAGGAAACTTGCCCAAGGTTTCGCCCTGCCGGGAATCGAACCATGGTCTCTCGCTTGCAAGGCAAGTGCTCTAACCACTGAGCTACAGAACTCCATCTTTGAGACATCTCAAAGCGCTACTGTAAAGTGAATTGACTGTATATTTTGTGGGTGAAACAAAGCAGCCAATTGCACATAACAGTGTCCCACAAGCATTCATGGATTGAAATCATTTTTTTTAAGGAATTATTATCCCCAACAAAGCGATTTGCCAATCGACTAACAACTGGGTCCCTACTTACTGAGTAAACAGAGGTGTGTGGAATGAGGAAAATCTTGTGAGGATAAGTGGGATTGATGAGGCACAGAGTTGGACCAAAACAGAGGGAGCTTTACTGTGAAAGATTGCTGTAAAACAGGTGCTAGAGCACTCAGGAATCAAACACAAACCTTTCCACATCACCAATCATCAAATGCTCTCAGTGGACAAAATAAGATTTTCCTTTATAAAATGATGATTTTTATTGTATTAGCACCAGCGACTCACAGCTGGCATGTATCCACTATAATTCCAAGCAACTGAGATACACATGGGATATGAAAAATAGTATAACCTTTTCATATGCATGTCACTATTTAGTCTTATACATACATATGTCACTCTTGACTCAGTTGGTAGTATTCTCACCTCTGAGTCAACAAATAACAACAATTTGCATTTATATAGCATCTGCCCTTCACACTGGTTAGTGTTTGGGGTGCTTAACAGTGGCGGAGGCTGATGCCGAGCCAGGGAGAGAGGAATGGTGACTGTAGGGATGTTTGAAGAGGAAGGTCTTTGGGCATGATATGAACATGAGAAAGACAGCAAGGCAGTGGGATTGAGGCAGAGAGTTCCAGAGTCTGAAGGTGTAATGGCTGAAAGCAGTGTTGCCAATGGTGGATCTGAGGAGTAAAGGGACGTGCAGGGGGCTGGAGCCAGCTGAGCAAAGTGGGTGGGTAGAGGAGTGGTATGAACGCAGGGCGTACATGAGTTTGGGGTTCGTGTAATTGATCCATTCTGCAATAGGAGCCAGTGGAGGCTGGCAAGAAGGCCAAGAGATTTGAACTGATATTCCAGGCTGACATTTCAATATAGTGCTGGGGAACCCTGCATTGTCAGAGGTGCCATCCTATGAATGACACATTAACTGAGGTCCTATTTGCCTGTGAGGTGGATGTTAAAGATCCCACGGGACTATTTGAAAAGAGAAGGGAGTTTCTCCTGGTATCCTGGCCAGCAATCCCCCAGATAAAATTGGTCATTCGATTGATGGCTGTTTGTGTAGCATTGCTATGCACAAATTGGCTGGGGCGTTCGCCTACAATTGCAGTCACTGCACTCTACAGTACATCCTGTGAAACTCTTTGACGGCCGTGATAAGGCATTATATTAAATGCAAGGATTATTATAATATGTGAAGGACAGTTTTTTTTAATTCAGCTAAACATGTATACGCAGTGAGTTAACCTGGACTGAAAATACGGCATTTTGTCGTTTTATATTTCAGTTCTACATTCGTTTCTAATAATAGGCATTCAATAGGATGTCACATTGGGGACAGGGTATTATCATTGTTCTTACAGAAGTGTGAAAGACCCAATGTTATAGCTGGAAAGGACCTTCACATGAGTTCTTTATTGTTATTTTAAATGAATTGTTAAGTTTAGAAAAGCGTTCTTGGACACAATATCTCAGTCAACGACGATGGACTGCAGACTATTATAGCTTTTAATTTCAGGACAGGGAATTGGCAGCACAGAGTGCTGTTCATGGAATAAGGCAAGTCATGACAGTGCACACGAATACACTTTCAGATCCATGAATTACCTCTGATGAGTTATGACATTGTGAAAGAATGTCAGCAAAGCCCCAGCGGATTTGATACTCTATTTATCCACATGTATGCAATTTATTTACGATGTGTTTTGCATGCAGCAGTTTGGGCTGGTCAGGGAAATTGAATCATGCACAAATGTTCAGGCACCCTAACAGGATTTTTTTTAAAGGGGAAAAAAAAACAAATAAAAAGATGCACACTTCAAAGCAAAACAAGACGATTCGCCAGCAGTTAGTTACTGCATCTTTTTGGGTGATTCACACACACACAAAAAAAAAATTCCAAAAAGCAAGGGAGTGAAATGCGATGGAAGCAAACGGGTTGATGTAGGGATGAAAGCAATGCATCGTCAGCAGCAATGGGAGCTGTGGCTGTGTGGGGTGTGAGGGAGGTGAGTAGTTTCCGGGGTGTTGGTGGATGGGGTGGGATGGGGATGGGGATGTGGGGGGGGGGGGGGAGCACGTGTAGTGGCGGCGCTGTGTGTGTCTGTGTGTCTCTCATTCTCTCCGAGTGGGGTGTCAGCACAGTATCAGCGCTATCTCCACCCCCTCTCCCCTCTCTCTTTGTGTTTAAAAGCGTGGCTGCAGGTGGACGTCAAGCCCAGGCTGGAGCAGGGAGTGCACTTGACGGGAGGACAGCCCCGCGTTGCAACTGCAACTGCATTGCATATTGCACGGCACTGACCCACAAGCCCGACCTGCAGCCCACAAACCGATCGGACGGGACGGGCAGCGAGACTCAGCCCCGGAGCAGGAGCAGGAGCAGGAGGAGGGGAGGGGAGGGGGCGCCGCTGCTGCTCAGAGAGTGTGTGTGTGTGTGTGTGTGTGGGAGCCCCGCGGCCACAGTGTGAGGAGCTTCAGCATGAGGACAGAGCACTTCACCGGCTCCTTCATCCTCTCCCTCAGCCTCTGTGTCCTCCACCTCGTCAAAGGTGAGTGAGTAAATCTGTGCACCTCACCCACCCCCTGGACTGGGGGGCTGGGGGCTTAGGGGATGGGGGCTGGGGGGCTGGGGGCTTAGGGGCTGGGGGGTTAGGGGGCTTGGGCTGGGGGGTTAGGGGGCTTGGGGCTGGGGGGTTAGGGGGCTGGAGGCTGGGGGCTGGAGGCTGGGGGCTGGGGGCTGAGGGGCTGGGAGGCTGGGGGCTAGGGGGCTGGGGGGCTGGGGGGCTGGAGGTTGGGGGGCTGGGGTTGGGAGGCTGGGGGGCTGGAGGCTGGGGGCTGGAGGGCTGGGGTTGGGAGGCTGGGGGGCTGGAGGCTGGGAGGCTGGAGACTGGGGGCTGGAGGGCTGAGGTTTGGGGTTGGGAGGCTGGGGGGCTGGAGGCGGGGGTGCTGGAGACTGGGGGGCTGGAGGGCTGGGGTTGGGGGGCTGGAGGCTGGGGGGCTGGAGGCTGGGAGGCTGGAGGGCTGGGGTTTGGGGTTGGGAGGCTGGGGGGCTGGAGGGCTGGGGTTGGGGGGCTGGAGGCTGGGGGGCTGGGAGGCTGGTGTTTGGAGGCTGGGGGGCTGGGGTTGGGGGGCTGGGAGGCTGGGGTTTGGAGGCTGGGGGCTGGAGGTTTGGGGGCTGGGGGTTGGGAGGCTGGGGTTTGGGGGTTGGAGGTGGGGGGCTGGGGGGCTGGAGGCTGGGGGGCTGGAGGCTGGGGGGCTGGAGGCTGTGGGGCTGGAGGCTGGGGGGCTGGGGCTGACATGGACACATCAGGTCCAAGCCGAGATGCACTGTGAAGAGCCTCAGGTCAGTGTGTGTGTGTGTGTGTGTGGGGGGGGGACACCAGGCTGACAAACTGGGAATATAATGTACATTTTAAACAGTCCAGCGTTGGTGGGATCACCTCCTAAAAAGTGCTCTGTTCTGAGAAGTTTTTTCCCTGTCTCCCTCTCTCTCTCTCTCTCTCTCCCCTCTATCACACTATATTTCTCTTGGAATATTTTTCCCCCCTCAGAAGACTTCTGGATTGGGACAGTGTGAAATCCATCCGAGGAGCGGTCGGTGCGCTTTTATTTGACTTGTTTTGAGATGCTTCTCCAGTCGGTCTCTCTCCTCTCTCTCTCTCTCTGTCTTGTGGAGAGGGTTCGGGGTGCAGTCATGTGTAGTTTGGGCAAACGGGTAACGATGCAACACAGCAGATTAGCGCCTTGGGACGTCCTCCAGATGTGTAGAGGCGTTGAATGCAACTGCAATGTGTTATGTCCCGGGTCAGAAAGATTCCTCCCCCCCCCCTCCCCACCCCCCACAAAAAAATACCCTCCCCAGACAAGCCAAAGGGGGGGGGGGGATAGATCACAAAACTGCTGTCAACAAAACCCAGTCTGGGTCTGTGTCTCTCTCTCCCCACAGACACGATTTCTCTTCCTTTCCTTTCCGAATTGAAAGGAAAAAGTTGATCGCATTTTTTTTGGGGGGGGGGGGGGGTGGGGGAGTGGGGGGGTTGGAATATAACAAATATTTTTGTTGATTTTTTTTTAGCAAAAATTAAGATAGTCTGGATAGTTTAGACCATCTGAGTCCTCGGATCAGCCCGAGCAGCGACCTGGGCGTCTTGTTTTGTTTTATTAACGAAAGGTGTTTGGGTTGGAGGAAGGGATGGGGATGGGGAGGATGGGGAAGAAGGGGGGAATGGGGAAGAAGGGATGGGGAGGAAGGGGATGGGGAGGAAGAGGGTGGGAAGGATGGGGATGAAGTGGGATGGGGAAGAAGGGATGGGGATGGGGAGGAAGGGATGGGGATGGGGAGGAAGGGATGGGGATGGGGAGGAAGGGATGGGGATGGGGAGGAAGGGGATGGGGATGAAGGGATGAAGGGATGGGGATGGGGAGGAAGGGATGGGGAGGAAGGGATGGGGATGGGGAGGAAGGGGATGGGGATGAAGGGATGAAGGGATGGGGTGACTCTGAACCCAAAGACCAGGGTTTAGGGTTGAGGGTTGAGGGCAGCTCCAAGAAAGTGAAGTGTGAACCCGATCGGGGATGTGAGTGTGTTTCTGTGTCTCTCCTTCGGGGAGACCGAGCCCCGGTGTCCGGGAACAGAGTTGTTCTGATCCATAATGACTGAGCATTTTTAAAAAAATATATGGAACAATATTTGCGCTGGAAACCACTTCATAAGATAACGACCCCCCCCCCCCCCCCCCCCCACACTGGTCGGTAAACTTTAATCAAAACGCGTCTGCCCCGTTCATCGAACAGTCGATTAACACATATATATATATTTGTCATCGTTATTGAACATTATTGCGCCTTTTATTCCGCAAAGCCACTTAAGTGCGCTTTCTCTGGAGGCTCGTAGGAGTGAATCCAACGCCTTTAAATTGCGGGGCGAAGGTGCTTTGGTTCGCTGAGGGTGTCAGGCTCTCAGGAGCGGGGTCGGTGGGTGGGTGAGAGGTGCGTTGTCACCTGTGTTCAGATGCACAGTTCGGAGGTGTCCTGTGGAGATCGCTCGCCTTTCCTCCCACCCCTGTCTGGCGGTGCAGATGTGCAGGACAAAGCCAGTGAGAAAGGCTCACTGCGTCAGACAGACAGACAGACAGACAGACAGACAGAGTGTGGAGACTACAGCTCTGTCTCCTGTCTCTGCACCGCTTCCATACATCACAACAACGCCCGAGCCCCGACTGCCAAAGCAACCAGACTCCCTCCCACTGTATACACCGGAGACCAGCGCGGGGAGGGGAGGGGAGGGGAGGGGGAGGGTGAGGGGAGGGGGAGATGCAGAGATAACGACCACAAGCTCAGTGCTGAGCAGATAAAAACGAACCCCGTTGCCATCTGCAATGTGATGCTCTATCCCCCCCCAATCCTCCCCTCCCTTTCCAAATGTTATTCTTAAAATGCACACGAGAGGGTTTACTTAAAGCAACTGTCTCAGGTCTTTGTTGTGTGTGGGCACTGAACACAAAGCCAGAGAATTAATTTCTTGAAACTTTAATTTTTTTTCTTGGAAATCAAGCGTGCAAGTGGATCTGATATCTCCCACTCTCTTTGTGAAAGCACGGACTGCAATATTGCAACAGCATTAGTTATGTATTAAATGTAGCTCTGTGCAGGTGAATGATCAATATCACAATATTATATTATAGGTGCTGTTCCTCACATTATTCGGATTCAAATGAGAATGGCTTGAATTACAAAGCACTGATACAGTACCACTTACTAATACAGATCATCACATTTGCAGTATTAAAATTGAACTTGCAGATCCATCATCAAACTGAATATTTCATTACGCTCTGAATTATTAATCACAATAGTGCTTTAAACCTCATACTAGTGCTGTGTGCACATGTTTTTGCACAAGAGTGTTATGTGCGTTCAAAAGTACCTAAAGGGGTGGGTTTGGCTTGAATTTGACCTTTCAGTTGAATGCTGCAGGATGGATTTTTTTTCTCAACAAAATTGCTGAAGTACTTTTGGGAAGAAAATAAAAAGTTGTGCTGGAATATCTTTGGCTTCACTACACAAGTTTGCGATGAACCGTATTTGTTTTCTTTATAAAAAATGAATAAAGCGAGATGACTTGTAAACTGACACTTATGAGGTTACATATTTAACCTGCCTGCATGTGCATTTTATAAAAGGCTGTTTATAATTGAAGGTCTTCAGATGCTATTAATATGAAGTCAAAGCACTAATTGTTAATGAGAGAATAGCTTTGATGAATTTCTCTGGACTGCGCAGGTGATTTCACTGATATTCTTCGAGACTCCTCTTTTAAGTCGTTCTTAATTACTTGCAAACTGGACTAATGGCAAACGCCCTTTCTGTCTCAACTTTTTCGTTTCCCTACTTTTGCTTTTTTCCCGTGTTGGTCACTTTTCATTCTTACCTGTGTCTTTTTCTCCTTGAAACAAATCAAAAACCTTCACCATCTTGCGCTGCCCTAACCTTTATATTCTTCTATTATCGTCTGTATTCCTCTTTCTGTACCCTTCGGTTTTCCAATTCTGGTCTACCTTTCTCGCTTTGTCTGTCCCCATGACTGAGCCAATGCCACTGCTTTTTCCAACTCTCTCCCCAACATTCTTAGCATTGAGCTCTCCCTCTCGGCCTTTAAATCCCTCTGTAAAAATATCTTTCGCTGTACCTTTGGTTTATACCCTTATATTTTCTTTTTTCGCCTGCTTCCTCCACCATTGTCTTTGTGAAGTGTTTTGTGATGTTCATCCTACATAAAAGAAGGTACATGGTGCACAAGCTATTGTACTGACTTGCTGCTTAGCTTGTGATTCCATATAAATCAATCAAGAATCATATGATTGCCACTTTTAAATCATACATACCCGCAGTCAACATCACTTGTGTTTATAAAGATAATTAAAATTTTATTAGGAAAGCAGCATGATGCCTTTATTTCAGTTTAATTTAGTGAATACTTATGGGAAAATAAACTTGTGAAAAACGTGTATTTTGATACCACTATTGATGTTGTTTGAGGTGTCATTTTGAGTTTGCAGAGGATTTGTAAATAGTGTATCTGTAACTCTTTCCGTATCCTGAAAACATAATTTAGAAATTGAAACTGAGATGCATATCCAAGTGGAGTTCTTGCCAGACATCTGTGGATGTGTGTAGGATTTGCTATTTGCAAATATCGTACATTAGATCCTGGAGATTCAAATTCAGACACACCTGACCAGTCGGAGGAAAAAAATTAGAGGGTTCATTGCCTCAGAATAATCTCTTGCCCCTCCTAGTGGCCAGTTACACAACAGAAGGTAGATCTGCCCACCCTGAGGTCTGGTATGGCAGGACACAGTGGGAGAGGCTCCTTTCCCTTTTAGTACCATTGGATCTTTAAGGTCCACATGAAGAGGCAGATCGGACCTTGTTTATAAGGTCTCATTCGAAGGATGGCACCTTCATCAGGGCACCACTCCTCCAGCACTGCATCGAATTATCATTGAATAGTTTTTGGGGAAAAAAATGAAAACTTTCTGGATTAAAG